GCAGATATACGTCGTACGACGACCCTCTCAGCCATCTCCACGACGTCTACACCCGAGCAGCAGATGCTGCGCTAGGGGAGCTGGGTCGCACGGAGAGGCATTCCGATGGGTCGAGTCGCAGGCGCAGTCGCCGCTAGCCGCGCACGACGCCTCCGGGGCCGCGTTCTGCACTACGCGCTGTTGAGTGCTGGGCTCGGCGATACCTGCCGTACGCATCACCTCGTCAGCGGATTCGAGACAGATTACGAGCAAGCGCACTCACCACCTGGATACCGTGCACACCCGAGGACGACGCCTTGTAGTGACAGTCGCGTAGATTGCGGGAATCGGTGCGTGGCCCGCCCTGGCCACAGATATCCCACCAGCGCCGCCGAGGATGCGATGATGCGCAGGCAGTCGTCGTGTGTGGGAAGTACGCTGCATTGTTCTCCCCCGAGCAGCCCCAGTCGCCGAGTTAGGCGGGGATACGCCGCAGAAGCGGAAGCAGACTTGGTGGGCGGAAGCAGAGAGTGGGGGACGCGTGAATCAGCCGCGCGCCGAGCTCCGAGTCGGCCACGTTCCCCGGCGCCAGATTCGCGCTTGTCCCCTTTTGGCAACTACGTTCGGGGCCGCATGCGCAGTCCCCCCGCGGCGAGTCAGCGTCTCACGCTCATTCCCCGAACCTCAGCGATGTCGCCGTATGGTATGGCTTCTCCAAAACATACATGCCTAGACATTATATATATCATCCGAGGTCACTTGCAACGGCTACACTCCCTCATTCCCTCCTATAGACGTGCCATAGAAATGCCGAAAAGTGTGGAGGATGGTCAGTCCGCAGACATTTAAGCATGATCCGCTCACGCACATTTACAACATGCCTGCTACCACCTAACATCGTTTCGATGGGTGAATCGCCGATTATTTCAATCAACGTTCCAGTGACTCGTTTGTCGGCCGGGTTCGTCCGCCGAGGGTCCAGATAGTCGAGATATCCACGTCGGCCTCCGTCGCCGTCCCGCCGCGATGGAGAGTTGACCGCCACTGGAAATGTGGTTGGAAGAAAGCAGCGGCCAGCCATGCAAGGCCGATTGAGGTTCAACCCGGCTCCGGGGATTAAATTCCACTGCATCTGCCTTATCGTCGCAAGAGGTACGTTGTGGTTTTGGAGGATGGTCTCTAGAATAAACCAAAGGAACCTTGCAGGCGGGGACCGATCTGTGCTCGCGTCAATATTTTTCTATTCATGGACGTTTAAACAGTCCAGGAGTAATCACCGTATTCGGATGCGAGCACTCTGACCGCGAGGACGAATAAGCCGTACCCAGTAGTCTAAGAAGAAGGTCACAGTGTAAGTAGACTAGTCGCAGTTTGTTTTCGCCTTGTTCACCTCTCTTTCCAGCGCGAAGGCTTGATAAGATGCTACTGGCCCATATCCGATTGCGGCAGATGACCTAAAAATGTGGCAAGTTCGCAGCGAGGTGCGGGGAAAGGGGATATCATCTTCGTGCGAAGCCAATGCGGAGGTGGATTCCATGGTATGTTTGCTCGAGGGGAAGCTTACGGACAGGGGATGAGTTTTCTTCGAAGGTAGCTGTTGCTTGAGCATCCAAGCGATTTAAATACCTTCGTGGATATCGCACACTCCGGGCTCCGAGATGAGAGACAGCCTGCGCACGCCGCAGTGGTGACCCATCAGTCGCATCAAGCAACCAGCAGCGGGGTGATTGGCAAGGTGTTGGGGTAACCGCCATGCAGGTGACAAGTGGTTTCCGTGACAGCTCGATCGTGTACTTATTCGTATCCAGACTATTGCGACGAGTGATTGCGGTGTCTCATCTGTGAGAAATGGCCTTCCTTCGGTTTGCGCTCAAGCTGGTAAACCATGTGCGGCCATAAACGCAGAGAACTGGACTCACCAAAACTCGCACATTTGACTGAGATCCGCTTACTCTGGGCGATATATCAAGACATGCTGCCACACAAATTGTGGGAATTGATTCGTCTTTGAGGGGTAAGAGATTTTGATGCACCGCAGCTCTTCTTGTAGCTTGGAACACATCATCATTGATGTGAAACGCGGGCGCATACAACTAGATAGACGTATGTCCAGGACCGCCGTGGCGAGTTCGTGGCGAGTGGTCGCGGCCAGTATTTTGCTGGATGACATGCTAGACAGGTACTCGCGGTCGAGGCATCAGCAGCCGAGGTCACGAAGGCAATCACATTTAGTGTCCAGGTTAAGGGCTGCACCGTGCACGGAAACGCATCTACACTAACACCGTCTACCGCTCACGTGAACAACCTCGCTGCAGATCAGGATATGTCAGCGCTGCGTACACGTCTGTTGTCCGAGGGATAAACAAAATACCTGCAATCACCTGACTACGAAACTCTCTAAACGCAGTCGAATCGCAACGTTGAATCTCGTGAGAGCAACACGACGGTGATGTACCGAGGTCACTGCCTGAATTGTACAAGACCTGTAGACCTGAGTGAGCTACTATCTGGATGCGATAGAGCGTACACACCGACTTATGCATGCCTACTCGCGACGCGTGATAGAGTTCGATACAAACTCCATGACTTTGGAATGAAATTGCGACGGACTTGTCCCTTGGTATGTGAGCCGGTGCTGCTTTGGGATCTTGATATGGTGAACGGTGGACCTTGCGTTCACAGTTGAGGTGTGGGTTCGACAAGTGCGGAGAGTACTCACATATGGTCAAAAATCCCACCAAGGACGAAATGACGATCAGCCTGAGCGCAATGATCTATCAAACAGCGGTAATCGCGGGAGCGATCCTCCGCAGCGGGGCCTTGCTTGCGCGCTTCGCTAGCCTCAGCACGGCGATTGGCAACGTGTTTCCGCCGCCATACAGATTGCATGGCACCTGCGTTGGGCCGTGGCAAGTTGTCCGAATATCGCAATTGGAGGTCAACGGAGCGCCAGGCATGCCATAGCATGGCTTCCATATTCAAGATGTCCTCCCGCGGTTCAGCGCGGAATTCTTGGGTGATCGTGAGGCTGGCGGGAATTCCTTCCACGCACACAAAATCGCATGCGATTTTGATGCACGGGCGGAGATTGCTAACCTGTACAAGCCATGACGCATAGTGATATAGTAGATTGTTAAACGACTTACTTGATGAGCGCAGCCTGCGGGGATGAAAACCGCATCGCCCAACTTCTGGAAGATCTCGAAGAACTCTATTCCACGTGCAATCAAGTCGTCCCTCATGCTCCGGGTAAGGTAGGTGGTTTGCGCGTGTATAGGGTCGCGAGGACTAGAGTCCCCTGTAACCTCACGAAGGTATGATCGAAGTTTCGGCGTGACGTGGGCGGGAAAAATATGCCATAGGGCTCCTGGAACCCCGGGCGGCGAACCGTGAACGTACACAAGAAGGTTGACCGCACTCGTGACGTCCAGGTGTAAAGGCGTCGAACCACTTTCCAGATGGTCAGGCGAAGCCAAATATGCTTTTGGACCTAAGAAGGCTTAGCACATTACGATTGAAGTCGGCGTTTGACAAAAGCGTACCTAAATCTGGTTTGAAAAGCTGTAGATGTAATAGTTGGTCGAAAGGCCAATGGCTAGAAAGATTGAGGTAGCCGTCGTGGCGCGTATATGCAGACATAGGAATAGCGTCCATGAATGCATCGAACTGAGTAGGGAAAAGATCGCGGAATTCCGCCGACGGGGGCCAGTCCTGAACGAATAACGTTAGTAGATGCCCGTGTGAGAACGTCAAGACGAACCTTCATCTTGACCACGCGCTTCTGCTCTTGAAGATCTGAGGTGAACAACTTGAAGAATTCTTCAACCGACATGATTGTCGCGGTCGGCATTGACGAGTCTATTACCGACACATTGTCTTTGCCGTGAGACTCGATGAACGCATCCGGGGTCCAGCGCCCCTGCAATTTCGCATGGACGTCATACACCACAACTGGACAGTGCTGCGCCCAGAAGTATCGGAATGCTTCTTCTTGATTCACGGTCATCGAAGGAGCTGTGCGAGGGCCTTCTAGAGGGCCATCCACCAACTTCTGCTGCTTCCGGCCGGCCCGAGGCGGACGTGCGTTCTGGGTTGTTGTATGCTTCGACGAAGCGACCTGTTGAAGCTGTAACAAGGTGTCTCCGACCTGGTTGGAAAGGAATCGAGAGACAGGGATGAAATCGTGCTATAACATCGATTCGTTGAGTAGGGTTTCGGTGGATCGATGCGAGCTTCCTACCTTCTCGTCTTGACTTTGTTGACAATCAACCCGGGACTGGTCCTCTTCCTCTGCGTGGCATGCAGTGCAAACCTCGAATCCGCAGGTAGAGCACATGAATGAGTGCGTGAAGATAGAAGTCATACAGACGTCTGTATGGTGTTCAGTTCGGTCTCCAAATGGGTCTTCGCATCGGACGAACCGCATGTCACGCGATGCTTTTCTACATCTCGACGGAGTAGTCCCGGTAGTTGTTCGTGATCCATATATTTTTGCGCCAAGGGAAGAACGTGCACCGCCAGATTTTGCTGTGCTCGAGCGATTAGTAACAGCGCAACGACAACGATAGGGATTATACATACCTGAAGCTCAATCAAGGAAGCTTTAGGAGGAAGAGCATTGTATACAGCTTCATACGTATGAGGCGCGGGCTGCAAAGAGGATTGAAAAGATGGCTTATTGGATCCAGGTGCGACTAGTCGGAAGTCTGTGAATGTAGAGTGAGTATGCTGCCGTGGTATAGCGGGAGTACAAAATATTGCATAGCTGACGGCACCTTTGAAACGACATGGACCATGGCCACTTATATGCCCTAGACATTCGATACATTTGGACGGCAAAGGCGCCGCCCTCCTGCCCCCTCGAGAGGTTTTACAGGCGCGAGTTTGCAAAACTGTGACGCACTGAGTTAGCGACGAAAGGATAGATCACTGAAGAGTCCGTACATGATGAAGGGGACTCAGTCGGGGGGGGCATGGGGCTCGGGCAAGTCGTGTGCGAGCGGTAAGTCGTGGAACGGTGTACGTACTACGTAGCAGCTTGACACTAAGAGAAAGACTGACTCGCGCCTTGTCATTAGCGCTTATATCGTGCTATGGGCGCCTATCCAGTGGAATCACCCAGGGTCGACTGGTACCAGACGTGGTGATCAGACATGTTCTCATTGATATTCGTGCTATCCAGTTCTATGTACAATTAATGCAGGCCTGGTTGTGGCCATAGCAACACATCCAACGGCTAAGTACGGGAGATCCTAGAGAGGCATGAATATATCGAACACAAAAAGGTGCTGCGCCTCCTACGAAACGCGTGGCGGCGAGCTTGAGTACCGCTTGACCATAACAACGAACGTTAAGAAAAAGCGTAGATACATAATAGTCCATTGCGGTGACATCGCGGCGGCCGAACACCATCTGTAGCTGCTACCGTAGGAAGGGGTCTCGAAACTGCACAGCAGCGAACAAACTAGTCATACACCACGGAACTCATATTGGAGCGGACGGCGCTAGGACGCGCGACTATTTAGAGCCCATACCTTTACATCCAATCCCTGACCTTTTCCAGCTCTACCACGTACTCGGCCATAGCCTTCTTAGCCGTCGTGCAGCGCTACAATGAGGGCAATGTAGCAATTAAGACGTGTCGTAGAGGATTCGGTAGGGGCGACATACTTTGACAAGACGCTCGCAAGCAACCCGCATTTCGTCATAGCGGAGAAACGATGCGTGAAACTTCTCCACGGGCATAACCGCGGAAGAGACACTGGTGAGTGTGGAGTAGTATTCGACTGCATTGTCGACGAGCCTCTGCAGAGGTGTCACGCACACGTCAGAGGGCGAGCAGGCCGGCGAGGTGTAACGGTCTCAAAGACGGCTCACCTTGATTGTGCCGATAGCCTCGGCTTGAGCGATGCTCTGGTCAAAAATGATTTGGCGGAACTCCTCGTACTTGCGTAGTTCGGCGCAAACCTCGTGTCCGGGGATCTGACCACCTGCGCAGGATAGCCACTTCTCGACAAGCACCCCGCACAGCTGGTCGCAATCCTCACGAACTCCAAGGCGCGCGGCCAGGTAATTCTCGAGGAGTTCAAACAGCGGCGCGAGCTTGCGTGCGAAAACAGCAGGGTCCCTGAAGGGCCTGGCGTCGAGACGGTCCGCGCATGCAGCGAAGCCCGTCTATGACGACGGTCAGCGAGGCTACACGAAGGAATAGACAATTGGTTGACCTCTGTCATGACTGTTCGGAAACAATCGTCCCACTGGCACATATCCTGAGTCAACGCAGCGATGTCCTGATATATCTGGTCAAACGTTCGCTGAAGCGAGGGGTGCGCAGCCTGAAGTTTGTCGCAATCGGCAGCGTCCATCTGCAGCATATAGCCGTCGGCGAGAGACATGAGCTGGAGGATGTACGAAGTTAGACAAAGTCCAGGGACGCCAGGCGACGAACACGTACCGTATGCCACACGTTTTCCAACTCCTCGAAGTGCTGGCGAACATTAGCGAAAGCAGAAGACAGCCCCTCGAGCAGATCGGCCGTCTCGCCCTCCTCTAGTGGATAGATGGTACGGAGCGCTTCCCGGTGTATGACAAGCTCGGGTAGGACACGGTGCTCAAAGATGCGCTCGCGGCACGCTTGACGGGCGGAGAGAACCGCAAGCCAGGTCGCGGAGTCCGGCGGGAGCCCCAGGGTATCTCCAAGGCTGCGTGAAGACACCGACGAAGTGAGTACATAGATCGCAAGCAGAGGGATACGTGTGCGTACTCGAAGATCTCTTTGTCTAGACTATCACAGAGCGAATGGACGAGCGCCGACGTCTGGGTGACAGTCAAGACTGCCAGCGCCATGCCGACCGGGGCGTTGTTAGGAGGCTTGAAGAACGCAGCCATGGGGGGATTCAGGAGGCGAAGTGGTC